GTAAAATGATATATCACACAGTATAACTCATTTCTTCTTTCAAACGTCGAATGACCTCTCAATGACACAACATAAAGGGAAATGTCTTTTATTGAACATTTCTTTTGTCTCGTGTTGCATTGCTTGCTCGCTCAAACTCAAGTATATGGTAACTCGTATCAAGCTAGGGCTTGAGATACCATCATTGTAATGGATATTCAGCATCAACCGAGTAGTCTTTACCTTATATGCAATGCATAATTAATTATAAGGTAATGTTTAATTATGAGAGTAGCTAAGTCTCAAGCGTAACGATTGGAGTGAGAAGTTGTACTTATTACTTTGTGTTGCAGTTTTGAAAATTATAGTCATGCGCAGTGCCCTCACAACCGACCATGACAAAAGTGAAGCACACGTTGAATTCACACATAAGTATGATATTTTGTATTGGGGACCCACAATGGTCGATGAATGTGATCTTTTCACACGTGCATCAACATGCATTCCATCAATTGCTCTGGTACAATCATGAAAAGATAATGATGGGTTACCTTATAACGTTGTTTTTATGTAAATTGAATGTAGTAAATTTAGGAAATTGCCTTAAAGAAAGCTATGTACTGTGCATCATGTGATATCTCTGTGGGGTCTGTTTGAATGTTGAATCTGTTGGCTTTGTGAATTGTGCAAAAAAAAAAAAAAAAAAAAAAGACTCACAAGTGCTTTCAACCCCACTTAAGCCATTCTGGGATAATATATAGAGGGTTATCACCAACACCTCTCGCGAAGTAGTTCTCAAAGAGCCATGAAGTCTATCATTCATGTGCAGTACCTCTAACATATTGTTGAATACCGCTTGTGTCATGCAGAACATATTGTTGAATCGTGTTGGGTAGCACGCACCTATATGTCTCCAACATATGAGAATGTCATGCATGGGGAGCGATTTATGTAGAAATTGTAATACCAATAAATCATGCATATGAGAGCTGCAACTCTCTTTCTACATCTTTCTCTAGTTGCACCCATGTATATCAATATCATGTTGACTGACATAGAAATATCAATAAATTAGCTACAATTGCATTGGGTATAAATAACACAATAAACATATAAGCATAATCATATAAACATCGTTGAATAAGACAAGCATGAAGCGGTTTAAATTTCCATAGCAAAATAAAAAATAAAGATACATAAATATCACAAGTGAATGTAAATAAAAAAAAAATTGCTTAAATGTTCTTACGATCATAAAAAAGTTGTACGTACGACACCTTACGGTCTTTGGGAATCTTGACAAAAAAATCTCTGTGGGTTGGATCTTCAAGCAACTCTACTGTAAACAAGTACAACGACAGATCCTTAGAAAATTTCTTAGTTGCATTCATAATTTACAAGACTTGGTTGATAGAATTTGCTTGAAATGTTTAGGGTCCAGTGATGCAAGCGGCCACAAACTGTGATATTTGGCTTCTTAGGAAATCATTACAAATTTCTTTTTATTCTCAACCTACGGACGCTTGTAACGGTAAGTGAAATTACGTTCATGGAGGTTCAGGCTGGGGACTTCGATTGAATCACCTGATTTGTCGACTCCCAAGTTCTCAAAGGTACAATTAAACCTTCTCTCATTGGCGGTACATGCATAGTTGCTCGTAATAATGACACCCTCTAACATTCTATCCAACTTCTCCTCCAACTCAGGATGTAGTCCACAGATTTTTAATTTTCTTATGGCGACACTGTCAACAAATTCATAACATCTAGTTCAATTTTAAAAAAAAAATCAAATTGGTCAAATTAGATGAAATGTTAAAAATACTTACCGCAAGTCTTTCTGCCCACCACTCATTGGAGTTATTAATAATTCACTTCACCGGATCCCACCCCATACCCGTTGATCCTTGTTTTAATTCATTCTAAATTTTACAATCCTTCTTGAGTTGATCCCCTAATTTGCATCCTATTATATTCTCTGTCTGCACTTTCATGATAATATTTTGCCACCATTCCTTGTTGAAATAGGTAATAAACTTAATTCCTACAATCAATCTCCTTGAGGCAAATGCCACAAAATATTATTTTAGTTTCTTTGTCCCACAATGCAGGTGCACCATCCTCTTTGGTCTTATCCATTGTATTACTATGATAAAAAAAACAAAAGCTACATAAATAAAAATGCAACAATTTATACACATGCCAACAAACAATTGCCCAACCACAACCCACAACGGAGCACATCGCCA